AAAATTTACCTCGGAACTTATTACGTTAAAACTCCCTCGCTGAATAAGAAAAGCGAGTGGAGGCCAGAGCCGAATTTTCGGAGCCCACAGCAACAAAAACGTTATTGCCATCCAAGCCTATGGCAGCTATCGTAAAAAAAAACTGTGAGAAGTCTTTCCCAAATGAACCATTAGTTTGGTTCTAGTGACAGAATGCCTTCTCTCCAAAGAAATGGTGGTGTCTTTTGACCATTGTCATCAAGGTGGACCAAGGCTTTCCATTTCTCATTTTTAACCAAGAGGATACCCATTTCGTTCTTTCACATATGCTTTCTTCCTCTACCACTGCATCTTTGTGTAGTAAGGTTGCTGTCTCTAGCTTCATTAATATTTGTTATTGTCTAAAGTTTGTTGACACCATAAAGCTAAATTTTGCAGTTATTTGGAAGGAGAAAACTGCTTTTGGTTTGAGTGACATGATGTGCGTATAATACTCCGTTCTAACTTTAGCTTTATGGTGCCTTCCAACTAGTTTCATTTGAGGTCTTCTCCCACATTGGCCATTGATATATTGCACCATTCACAATAACTGTCCTGTTTCTTTCCTTTTTTCTTTGTGTAGCTTTGATTATGCCTGAACCTTGCCGCTATTTAGGGGTCTGATTATGTTTAGCAAAAGGAATTGCAGAATTTGCTGAAATGCCGCAGTTTGCAGATTTGGGTGTTTTATTGTTTGACATTTTCACATTTATCAGGAGAGGAACAATAATTTACAGCAGCAGCTTGATGCGCTTTCATTTTCAAGCAAAAGAAAGGTGCCCAAGGCGAAGGGTCCAGAAAAAGTATCCATTTCTTATGACAACATAGGAACTAAAGAATTGGTGATTTCTGAAGCAGAACAAACAGGTGAATGGGTGTCTAAATTATATCTGCTTTTCTTGATTTGACCTTTGAATTAGCATTCTTATTAGGAGCAGTGAATATATAATTGCTACCATTGAATAATTGGACCTTGTTTAAGGAACATTAAAAATTTGAACATGATGGATTTTTATTTCTTGTTTATATTGCGTGCCAAATTGATAGCACCTTATGAATTAAAAATAGTCCATAGAGAGAGAAAGAGAGATGATTTCAAAGTAGCCATAAGACAAGATTTATGTACCTTTTATATTTTATCTACTTTAATTTTATGCATTTAAAATTTGTTATGAATGTTGAAAGATGCATGAGGGTAAATAATCCTACACTTTTTAAATCGATAATCTCTCTTTCTTTATATATATATATACCCCTCCACACACACACACATGTGGGCAGACGTGCAGTTGTTTGCACGTGTTGATCTGCTGATGTTCTCAATCAGGGATGCATTTGCATTTTTGTCCATGTGCATGCACACTTCGTGTGGGGTGTGTATGGGTGAGTGCATGTGAATGTGTTTTGGCGTGCGAATGCTAATGTAGCATGTGTGTGTGGGGATGTGTGGGCTTGTGGGTCTTAATGGGTTGACATTGGAGATATGAGAAAAAATCAGGAAGATATGGCCAAGAACCAAGAATTCTGCTGTTCTTGGCTGCTGAAATGGATGGACAGCAGTTTCTTGATTCCTGGTGAGAAGAACTCCAATCTTGGGAGGGAATTCTGCATTGTTTACTGGTTGGAAGAAGGCCAATTGGCTGGAAAGAAACCTCACAGCAGTAGGATAGCAGGCCGGTGATGAAGAGGAAGAAGATGTGCTGACAGTTGGCTGGTTGGAAGAGGGAGTTCCAGAGACAGGGATGCAGTCCTGCGGAGAGGAGGAAGAGGAAGAACAAGTGCGGGCGGTCGGCTGGCTGGAAGCTAGAAGAGGGAGGAAGGAGAGGGGAACCCAACGGTTGGCTGGAAGAGCTGATAGGCTGAGGGAAGAGGAAGAGCGGTCGGCCATCACTTGGAGCTTTCCTAGATACAGAGAACAAGAGATATGGCTCTTTACTAAACACAAAAATCGGCTCTCTATTATTAAGACCTCTATTTATAAGATTTCTTTAAGGGAAAAGAGTAAATAGAAAAATAATGTCAAATAACAAAAAGGATGTGGGTTGTGGAACCAGTTGGTTGGACCATCCCCTCTCTATTAGCACGTGCGTCATTCTCCCCTGTTTGGAGCAACTTCTTCATCTTTGGAAGATGCTACTTTAGAATAATGAGGTGTTAAGTTTGAGATGTAGAAGGTAGCTGAAATGTGATAATCACACGATTGTACTTGTTGATAAGCATAGTCGTTGATGCATTTGATAATGCGGAAAGGTCCATCTGTCTTTAATTTTAATTTATTGTAGGGGCCTGGTGCAAATCTTTCATTTCATAGTTTAATCTAGACCAAATCTCCCACTTTAAATGCTCTAAGTTTTTTATTTTTGTTGCCATGAGATTGATATTTGAGATTTTGTTTGTTGATGTGGTCATGTACCTGAGCATGCTATTTTCTTATTTCTTGAATTCGTCATTCATCATAGGTTTGACAATTTGTTAGGGTAATGGAAGGAATCAAATCAACAGGTGATATGGGATTTTGCCCGTACACAACATCAAAGGGGCTTCAAACCATGGTTTGACTGTGTAATCTGTTATAAATAAATTCTACTTGCGACAGTATTAGGTCCCATTGGCTGATATTTTGACCTACTAAACACCTCAAGAGATTGCCTAAACTTCTATTGGCAGCTTCTGCCTATCCATCTATTTGTGGATGTGCGGTGGAACTGTATTAATACTTTGTTCCAAACATACCCCATAGTGTCTTCCTCGATTGGATGTGCTGATCATGGGAATGCCATATAATTTAATGATCTCTTGAAAATAAAGATTGATAATGTGGGTTGCATCTAATGTCGTAGGACAGGGTACAAAGTGTGATATTTTTGAAAATGTCTACAAATATCATGATGGAATCTTTTTGACATTGTGTATTTGGTAGCCCCACAACGAAATCCATACTAACGTCAGTCCATGGTTATGCGGGAGCCGGGAACAAATAATGGCAAGTAGGGGCTGCTCTAGGTTGACAAGTTTTGGCTTGATGGCATCTTCAACATTTCTTTACATACTGGGCTATGTCCTCATTGAGTGAGGGCCAATAAAATTTGTCTCGGACAATTTCAAGGTTTTGTCTCTACCAAAATGACTTGCTTGTCCGCCATATAAAATAGCCTTTCTAAAGGAGCACTGAGGTATGCAAAGCCTGCTGACAAAGAATAGATAACCTTGGTTAATATGAAAACGTTTAAAGCTTCCATATTTTCTGAAAATTAGGATCTTGCTCATATAACCCTTGTATGGATTTAATTCTCATTGTTTTGAGTTGCAAGGTGTTGAGTACTAATAACCTTCGGCTTAATGCATCTTCCACTTGATTGAGTTTCCCTGATTTATGCTTGAGGGAATAGTGAAATGAGGCTAAATATTCCATCCATTTGATGTTCCTGCCCTTGAGTTTGTTTTGTTTTTGTAAATGCTTGAAAGCTTCATGATTAGAAAAAATTACAAAATTTGGGTTAACAAATAATGACTCCAATTTTGTAATGCTTGTATAATGGTGTAGAGTTCCTTTTTGTAGGTAGAATACTTTTGGAGGGCATCATTGAGTTTTTCACTAAAGTATGCCACAGGGTGTACTCCATGGCTTAGTACAGCTCCGATACTTATATTGGAAGCATCACAATCAACATAAAATACCTTACTGAAGTCCAAGAGTTCCAATACTGGGCCGGATGTTACTAGAGCAGATACCAAATAATTTGAGAAAAAGTATTTCGATGCCAATATTTAAGAATGTACAATGTATTGAAGATTGTTGAAGTTAAGTTGAAATATAACTTATGAGTCATATAGTGAAGTAATGGGTGATAGTAATGAAAATGAACCCAATAAAAATTAGTTTAGTTTTGGATAATCAATTTGCATTTCATGCCAAGAAGATATATTAGGAGGGAAGTGAATTTTGTGTTTAGGCAATTAATATATATATATATATATATATATACTTATACATATATATAATACTAATAATAATTAGAAAAAAAATCTTAAGCTCTTCATAAAAAAATAAAAATAAAAGAACCTAAATACAAATCCCTCATACCCTCACGACACTCACGCCCGAAGTCCCTTCTCCCTCTCGGCTCTCTCCCTCACATTCCCGACTCGCCGTCGGCCTCCCACTGCCACCTTAGGTGATTCCTCCACTCCTTTTTTTTCTCATTTCTTTCTTCTTCTTCTTTCTTTTTTCTTCTTCCTTCCTCATTTCTTCTCTTTCTCTTCTTCTTCTTCCTCTTCCTCACATTCTTCTTTCTTTCTTCTTCTTCTTCTTCTTCCTAAACATGACCCTAGCCCTAAAAAATTTATTTCTCTATCTACATCTATTACATCTCTTCCACCAAAATGTCCTTTCACATTCCATTCTCTCTAGGCCTAGAGAGAAAATTCTCTCTAAAAAAAGAGTAAATCCAATTGTTCTCCCTCTAAACATCTATCTCCCAACCTTAAACACCCCTCTCACTCTCATTTCCTTTTTTCCCCTCTACCTAAAAAGAGAAAAAATTCCTCCCTCTCTCCCATTCTAAAATTGGAGAGGAGATATTTTCTCTCTAGTCTCATTCTCCTCACAACCACGTCTTCCTTACATTATTCCCACTAAAACCCTTGCCAAATCCCCTCATTTTCTCTCTTTCTCAATCTAGAAAGAGCAGTTGTATACTCTCTTTTTCTAACCATTCATATTTTACAAAAAATGTATATATTTAAAAATTAAATAAATGATAATAATATAAAAAAAGTACGTGTATCGCAGGTGTCATCACCATTGTCTTGACGTTGCTGCCTTTGTCATCGCGCATTTGAGGTATAACGACACTAGTTTTATTTTACGAATTGTTGTGTGAAACTAAGTACTCGTGATTTTCTTTCTTGGCAGACGGGAAAATCTGCTATGCATGAAAACAAATACCCTTAACCGCCTTTCTTGGCAAGCGGGGAAATCTGCTATGCATGAAAACAAGTGCCCGTGATCATTTTTTTTCATGCAGGGAAGTCTGTCATGCATAAAAATAAGTACCCTTGACCTCCTTTCTTGGCAGGCCGAGAATCTGCTATATATAAAAAACTAAATATACATGTCCTCCTTTCTTTGTATGTGGGGAAATGTTGTTCTTTATAAATAGGTACTTGAAGACTCATGACTATGTTCCTTGGCAGGCGGGGAGGCCTAACACACCTTGGTGCATTCCCCTACGTGGGGACGCGTTGGGTGCTGCCGAAATTTATACTAAAACAAATGACATATTAAATTTAGGAAAACTACAACCTGATCTAGCTCCCAAGTCAAAAAAAAAAAAAAAAAAAAAAAAAAAAAAAAAAAAAAAACTCGAAAGCCTAAGTTGCAAATATTGATAAGTAAAAATGAATGAAAATTAAAATGCAACAAAATTGTATTAAAATAAACTTATAGAAAAATTGGCTGCTTGCTGACAAGCACGAATGTGAACTAGAACTCTCACTTTGGTTCCTAGCTAGTTTGCTCGTACATAGCCAAATTCCCCAACAACACCTTGCAAAAATGAAATGTGTGCAATGACTAAGGATGAGTTCCATATTTATAATTCAACAAATAGCCATGTGCGAGGACCTATCTAAATAAATAATCTCGCTACATATGGGCAATGAAGTTCATACCTGAATACAGGAAATAATTACCCTATAAAAATAGTAAAAGTAAAATTAATTACGTTCTTACGAAAATGCATCTACATTAATAGCCTCCACGTAGGATCTCCCGTATAAATTCGATAATCATCTTAATTAAATGCTCCATAGCGAAGCAAGATCATTAATCGTATTGCAAGTTGTGGGTGCGTAAGTGCCTTAGA